GTGGGTGGGTGTTTGTGCGCAGCTGCCACTTATTTCTGTCCACCCGGGTGCCACAGGACACGGGAGGCAGCGCGTGGGAGCCTCTGGGGTTGAGGGTGGCCTTTTGGGGGGGAGACAGGGACGGGGGTCGCGTCACGACATTCGAGGGGGACGCCTTGGGTGGGAGGGAAGCTCTCCTCCGTCTCCGCGCCCAGAGAGCTTGTAGGTGGAAGGCACAAAGACGTTGGGGTTCCCTCGCCCGGGTGTCCCAAAGGGTCGGTTCTTGGGACCCCCCCCTCCGAGCGCCCTGCCCTGAAACAGCGCCCCCCCACTACTTCTGGCCGGCCTTCCTTCCACAGCCCTGCCCCTGTTCTGGTCCCCAGAGGCAACTGCTCAGAGATGCTCCTTATAACAAGGGTTATATAGGGAAAGGAGGGGAGATCTCTCATGCTGGAGGAGGGGGCTTTCTCCTGCCTCCCCCCCCACACTCTCTTTCTCTCTCCCCACCTTGGTGGGACCTGCTTTGGCCCTCCCTCGGGTTGCCTCCCTTTTGCCTCCCTTGGGCTTCGGAGGGAACCTGTGCCAGGCCCCCGAAACCCAAGGGACGCCAGGCCTGCGCAGGGCGGAGCAGGCTGGCCCTGCGCCCAAGGGACCATTTCCCCCCCCCCTGAACCCAAGCACGCACATTTCCCCCTTCCCTGCCCCCTCCCGGGTGGCTGCCAAGGGTGTTGCAAACACTGAGCACGGGTTGGGGGCTGCCCTCCAACCCAGGACTTGCTTGCCCAAAGGGCCTCAGTGGGGTGGGGGTAGGGGTTGGGGGGGCTCTCCTGCTTGGCTTGGTGCTATGTCTGGGTTTTAAGTGCCAGTTATCAGGCTTCTGGCCTGCCTTCCACAGACCTCGCTGCACGCATTTTTTTCCAAGGAGGGGTCGCCGGACGCTGGTGGGAGACAGTTGCATTGATAGCGTGTATATATATATATATTATATATATATATACATACATATATGTAGAAAAACGGGTGAATACTGGTACCTGTGGGTTCTGTGGTGTGTGGGTGGAAGAGGAGGTGGGCGGGGGGGCTCGTTCTTCGGGTTTCGAGACGCCCCCCGGGACCACAAGGAGGGCAAAGGAGGCACCCGCCACGGACTCCCCTTGGGCCCCGGGCTGAGACGAAGGCCGCCTGCGGAGTTTCCCAGCACCCGAGATAAACCGGCCACGCGGGTGGATGATGGGGGGGTTGGTGCACCCGCAGAGGCCCTTCAGGGCCCCCCTGCCTCGCTCGACGAACAAAATTCGGGAACCGTTCGAGGTTTTCTCCGAAGGGGGACTTCTCGTTCAAATACCTCACAGGCCTTTCTGCGGCCACGTGGCCCGCGGCGAACACGAAGGGAAGCCGCCGCGCTTTCAGAAAGACTTTTCGGGCGGCGGCCGCGGAGCCTTGCAACGCCTCGGCTGAGAAGTGCGCGTGCATCAAGTGACTTGCTGTATATTTATTCCACTTATTTATCGTTGCATTTAAGAAATCAAAAGTTGTTCTCTTCTGTGGTGTTTACACCCCACCCCGGTGTCAATGGAGCTCCTTCCCCCCCCCCACTGCCACTTTCTTTTGTTTTGTTTTGAATGTTTTGTGTCAAAACCTCCTACGCCCTTCATCTGCACAAGGGATACCTTTAGAAGAGCCGGCGGGGAGGGGGCAGGCACGGTGAAGGATGATGATGATGAGATGCTGCTACGTGAGGACTGACGGGAATTTGGCCTGGGTCTACTCAACGGGTCAGGTGGCCCGTTGGTCCCAGCGCTGCCTGCCGGCGGAGGTGCTGCGTTTTTCCTCCCACGTTTTCACTTGAATCTTTTG